AGGATCAGTCATTATCATTTTTCGTTGAAGATATCGTAAAGCAATAGCAGTTGGATATGGAGCAATACATGATGAAATAGTTGCTACTCTAAATAAATGAAAATGTTAAGAATCAAGTTGAATAATTAATTATTTACCTGCCAACATTTTCTGGATATAAAAGACCTGAGAGAATTGAACACATTCCACCTAATGATGAACCAATACTTGCATGAAGCTTTAGTTAACAGAAAAAAATATATTTTAACATTTTCTGTTATCATTTATACATAAGGTGACGAAAAATAAAAGTTTTAGAGAAGTTCTATTTTCAATTTATTTAATGTCATTAGATAGAGCACATTGAGTTATATTAGAAAAACTACTTTTCCGATTTTTGAAAACTTCTTAATATTATGATTAGGAAAAACAAATCTTATGTACATAAGGTGTTTTTTATAATTTTGCGTGCAGAATCAGGAAATAACTCTGATAATGGATGAATCTAGTCGTAATATTTAGAATTTTGTCTTTTTTTCTAATGACTAAATAAATTGGAAATTCACTAAAAATTTTTATTTTCAGATTCTTACTTTTTCAATTCCTAAATGTTTCACTAATTGAAACTGTGCACGAACAAAATCTTCGACAGATAACATAGGAAAAGAAGCACCATATGGTTTACTTGTTTCAGGATTGATTGATGAAGGTCCACTGAAGAAATAAAAAATAATCAAAAACTAATAAAGATACAAACATACGTCGAACCATAACAACCTCCAAGATGATTACAACAAATAACAAAAAAATGATTAGTATCAATACCTAAGTTAGGTCCAATAAATTTTTCCCACCAACCGGCTCTTGAATTTTCCTAAATTTATATTTACATATTGTTATTTTTAACTAAATAAAACAAAAAAAAACCTATCACATACATCATGACTTTTTGCATGTGAACTAGCACTGAGACCCGTAAAGATAAGAACAGCATTATTTTTTTTGGCATTCAATTTACCCCATGTTTCATAAGCAAGTTGAAATGTATTTAATGATTTATTATTATATTTCAATTGGAAATGTTCATTTTGATGTTTGTATGTTTTATAACCGGATACAACATGATGATAAGCTGGTTCAGGTCCTTCCGTAGAATGTGCCCTATGCAAAATTTCATGTTTATTTCTAAAAGAATATTAGTTGTAGTTACCATCGAATGCAAACAAAATGTCGAGCGTTTGAAGTTGGAAAGCGAAGAAATTTCGACCACAAGTGCATTGTTCTGTTGTGTCACGAATAATATTTTGTCTTTTTTTCGTGTTGTGGTGACCTTGCTAGACGCCAATAGATACCGTCGTTTCATTCCTGCATCATGCGCTCTATATGTGATCACATAAAATAAAACCTTGAGTGCACCAATGACGAAATTATTTTGTGTCACAATATAAAGATATAACTAATGCAAATATATTCAAAACAAGATCAACCGAGTATATCTGAAGAAGAAAAAACCTAAGTAATATCAAAATAAAATAAATATTTATTGCGTATTTCTTTTACAAAATTTTTACAAAAGTTTAAGGTAAATTTTGCAGATGAAATAATAAAAGATTATGATATATAATCCAGGATTTTTGAACTAATTAATCGTAAACACAGTCAGTTTTTTTCAGTAGATTCTCAAGTTTATCATAGACTGTTAAATGTTAATATAGAATATCAAGTAATGTCAACAACAAACTTCTTTTTTTTGAAAGCTTTGGTAATTTATTTTCAAATATGACAGAATGTACGAAATAAAAGTCGACATCTACTAAACTTCAATGTTAGCTTTTTTTTTTTCTTCCACAGATGTATTGCAATAAATTCTTTCTGCATTAAAGTAACGCAATATAACCAAGACAATAAACTACAATGAATCATAATTTTTTTTCACATTTACTCAGAAAGTAAAGACATGATATCGAAACACATTTTTTAAGAAGATTACGAAGTTCTCATAGCAGTTCAAATTTTGAGTGCACCACTTTGTTTAATCTTAATTTTTCAAAAATTTCTCAAAAAAATTATCAGTAACGTATCTGCGTAGAACTTCCGATCAAAATTCGAAAAGATGAGTTTCCTGAAAGTTTGGGACCTTTAGAAAAAAATTCTATAGCTTAGTCAAATCACAGCAATATGGCATAATCTATCATGTAAGAAATGGTATGTGAGCAAGAATATTATTGGACGATGAAATAATTTTGTGTAAGTTTGTTTTTGAAACCATAAAATGTTTCTATCTTTCCCTCCAAACAAAAACAAAAAAAATGGAGTGTACGACAAATGATTTCTTATTTATTTATCTATTAACAATCCATGTTTATAGAGCTTATCAAAAGGAATTGGTGCTCGTTTTTCATCAGTTTCAAATAAACGGCGCAATGCATCACGAGCTGCCATTTCTTCAGCTATTGAGATTGTTGCACCGGCACCTAAAATAAAATTCATAATTAATCATAAATAACATTATATGAATTTTATTTTACTTTTTCCTAGAAATTCTTTATTGGAATACACACCAACAACATATGTTGAAAGTACACTAGAGACACCTGTTGCCCATATTAATCTATTATTAGAAAAAAAAAATAATAATAATTTCTTATAATAATTTTTATTTTTGTTTCATATCTAACCGAGATTCAGGTGCTTGCCGTCCATTCTCTTCTAAAACTTTTGTTAATAGACCCATGGGATTTTTAACATGCCATATTTCATTGATATCTTTTCCTACAAGATGTGTTAAAATAAAATCAGCAACAAAAAGTTCGGCTCTTGATCGATCCTAAAAGAAAACTTATCAAAATTAATAATTCAATAATCTAACATTTCGAAATCTACTGACATTATTCTCATCAATAGCACCAATAAAAGCAAACAATGCATTTTTAAGCATTGTTGGACGAGGTGATAAAGTCTACAAAACAAAAGATGATTAATCTATATCTTAAATATCATGTGAGAGTCGTAAATAATGGCATTATTCGCATTTTCTTTTTATTTTATCCACACTTCTAGGTAAAGAACTATGCTTGGTATTAAACAGTTCACTGTTTAATTCTCTATAAAATCACATAAGGACACTGGATCTAATCGTCAAAGTTGCTGAAAAGATCAAAGAAGATTGACCTTCTCCGACATGTACCGATCTCTAGAAAACCCTATACTTAACGGAAATATTCATTTTTACAGACGAGAGAATTATCGCGACTGACATTGCCGTTCACGCTTGTATTGGATCCACAGGTAGGTCTCAGAGAAAATATCAAAATTCTTAAAGAGTTCCATTTCCATTCATCTTGAGCGCCGAGTAATGACCAGTTTATTGGATTTTTAACCCATTTTTAGGTACTCCCGGAAACAACGAATAATGAAGTTTTGATCTAAAACTTTTCCTATGAATACCTCTACTAGCTCTTAGAATATTGTGAAAATTTTCACTGAAAAGAATGTTTCTTCGTCGAGTTATTGAGTTTTCAGATGAACTCAGTTTTTGTGACAAAGAGTAACTTTTTAGAAATTCCATATTTTGACGAAAGAACATTCTTTTCAGCGAAAAATTTTAGGTTATTCTAAGAATCATTAAACCTATCCACAGGGAAAATTTTGGATCAAACCTTCATTAGTCCATCTTCCCGAGATATCTAAAATTGGATCAAAAATTCAATAAACCGATCATCACTCGGCATTGAAAATCAATAGGGACGAACTCTTTTAAGCTTTTGTTATTCTCACTGAGACCCTGCCTGTGGATTCAATATGAGTTCAAAGCATGGTTTCCCAATCCTTAAGCGTATTGATTCAAAGTAGTGATCATCACAAATTTTCATAAGAACAGCCGACCTTTCTAAATATCTGTAAATGATAGGGTAATTGGTCTTTAAAGAATTTTAAATGACAGATGAATAGGTCCTCTGAAAAATTAAAGCTGTAGTGAACAAAAATCTGAATACGAATTGTTGTATGCTAGACATGATTACCTATTAGAAAAGCTGAATGTCGTCCAAATCTCATAGCCACTTATTAGGTTAGATCTAATTCTCTTGCGAGAATACCATTATTTATGACGCATCCGTTAGATTATCGAAATAAACATACATCACATCGAATAAGTGTTTTAAATCCAAGTTTTGAACTAATATAAGCTATTGTTGATTCCGAAATGAGAAATTTCGTTACAACACTAAAATAATATAATTAATTCATATTATAAATCACTAAGAACCTTACTCAATGCCTTCTTGTGGAAATTTTGGATACCAAAATTGAAGAGCACGTCGTAAAAAATTTTCAGCTATTTGTTCTCCTAATAAATAATACCAATCAATTACATACAATTCAATTAATTTCTAACCTCGTTTAGCTAATTCTTCATTATGAGTAAATGATAATGTTGTTTGATCAGTAGCAGCAAGACCTTAAAAGAAAAGGCAAGCATTTTTCTATCATTACATTTTTCTTATTATTTCATACCAGCTTCAGTACGTTGTTTAATAATTTGATTTAAAAATGAAGTATCAGTCATAGCATTACGTAATGATTCAATATGCATCTTTTCACCAAATCGATGCGTACATGCATATAATTCTGCATCATAATTCCTTTTTGTTTTAAATAAAATTCCTTTTCTTTTTTTTCTCGAATCAATTATCAAACCTACCAATTAATTAATGATGATCGAAAACGTTCGGGTTCTGGACCTGCTTCAATTCGTCTTTTATATAAGTTACTTTTATATAAATATCGCCAACGATCTTTCAATGGGCCAAATATAGTTCCATAACGTAATAAACGTACCATATTCTTTATTAATCTAGAAACTAAAAAAAAAGAAGATCTCGACTGAATACGCTTTCATTAAGTGCATGATTACACTGATGAGAAAAGAAATCAAAACAGACTGACAAGACAAAAAAATAGGACGGATGCAACAAAAAAATATTTCTATATGTATATATATATATTTATATTTGTGTATATTAAGCAACATATTCATATATGTTAGCATTGTCTGCTGATCGTTTCATGTATTCACGTTCAAGTAAACTTTCAATACGTGTTTTAATAACGGCTGTCTAGAGAAAAGAGAACCAATGATTAAAAATAAATTTTTAATTGAAATTATTTTTACTGATAAAGGAAATTTTAATTGTGAAAATACTTCAGATATAAGTTGAGCATGTGATAATGTTTTACGTGTTTTCATTATTCGAACAATAGCGGCATCAACTTGATAATGACGATCTTGAACAACACGTTCCGTTGTTGAGCTATTTTCTTCCGGCTAAAAATAGATAGAAAGTATAGAAAAAAAAAAGTTTTATAAGTTTTAATACGAACAGTTTCTTTCAATTGTACTTGATTAATTTTTATTCGAATTAATTTATGTTCAAATGAAGTATTTAATGTAAATCGATCGTCAGCATTAATATCTTTACTCTAAAATTAAAGACAAAAAAAAATGAAATAATTATTGAACGACTTGAAAAGACTTATTTACAATTGGTTTTTTATTTAATAAACGAATTTTTCCACATGCTAATGATTGTAATGTTCGTTGTAATTCAGCTGGTTCTATAGAAATTTATTTGAAAAAATCGAATGAATATTTAAAAAAAACTGATACAAACGAATTTTAGTTTGTTCTTGAATATCTTTATAACTAAGATCGTTATGTTGATTAAAAAGAAGAAGAACAAGTGCTTGATAAAGTGATACATGAAATTCTTTTATTGCCTGCAAGATATTTATAAAATATATAAAGACTGTCTCAAAAGTTCGAAAATGAATTTTAAAATTCATCGTTCTGGCATTCAAAAAAGAAAATAAATTCTTTGCAAATTTAAAAGATAACTATGAGTACTTATAACCCTTTCGATTCTAAAGTTCCGAAAAGACCCATTCGAATGATAATCTCCGTATGAGCTTGCAATATACTGAAAGTTCGGTAAAATGACCATAACTCGAGAAAACAGGCCTGATAGTACGAAGTAAGATGGTTAGAAAAAGAAGAATACTTATAGATACTGAAACAGTTTATTAACGATGATCATCTATTAAAGGAACTTATATATCGTCTTAAGAATGCAAATAATTACTAAGAAGATGACAAAAATGAAGATGTTGATACCAATATCGACGAAGACGGATACATTGAATAATTTTCATTAGACAAAAATATCGGAAATAGCACTTGTCGACCTGCTAATTAGAGTGCTCAATAGACAGTAAAGATTTTATTCTTCTGTATAAATCCATTTTAATCTATGTCAAATATACATGTAAATTTAATAAACTTATGTCAGACACATCTTTTTTTGCACGCACATTTTCCTGCGAGTTTTTCATAGATTCAGTTTCGTGATCTATTAGTAATATTATACTATTGTGTAGTTTATAGTGTTCTCTTTTACACATCTAAACATGGTAGTAGAATAATAATACTCATTTTAAGAAAAACAATTACACTATCTATACCTTATCTTGACTTAGAGACCAAAGGACAATAGTATTAAATAGCTACGAAGTTTCAGGTCTATAACTTCAAATATGGATGAAAAACTTTAATAAAACTATCGTATACAATTTTAGGAACTTTTCGATAACCTTAATTGATACATTTCCTTAAATATCTATTTTTAATCAAAGAATGTATGCTTTGTAAGAAAATTTAATTTAATAGTAATCGATATGCAAAAGTTCATTCGAACTATTGTAGCAGAAAATGCAATTAAAGAATTATCTGTAGTTTTCAATATGATTAAAAAAACGACGCAGATAATATTAAATGCCATTAAACATGTTTATATCAATCTAATGGAACAGAAAAATTGTATTACAAAACTATCTGATTTTGATCCTATAGGAAACATTTGAAGTGCATTAAAACAAAACTTGCAAGGGTAGAAATATAATAATATTGAAAAATGACGTGAAAAAAGAAGAATATGTGCTTTTGATTTAAAAATCTTAATCAAGAAGATCAAGAAAAAAGTACACGATATACTTTCTCAATAGTAGTAAAAAAAAAGCCCTAAAAATCTATGATTGTTTAGTGCTGAGTAGGTACAAAAATCTACCAATGATTTACGTTTGTTGATTACAAGAACGATGAATTTTTCAATTGTTTTAAAACTTATATGTTAATATCTATGTAATCATAACCTTTTCTTTGAGCCACCCTTTAAGTAAACAATGATCAAGTGTATATTGCCATTGAAGTTTACGGCCTGTATGTTTACTTAGATAAAAAGTTGTAAATATTTCTTGTAATCGACAAAACTAAAAATAATAATCATAAAAGAATCCGAAGTAAAAAACATCGACATTTTTTACTTCAGGTGGCAAAATAGCAGTAACATGTGGATATGTTGGCCAAAAACCCATTGTTAATACACAAACAGACATACCGATATTTCCTGGTGCTTCACGACCATGCATATACTATAAAATAGATAAATTGTAACGATAAAAATTAATTCTTCAATAGGCTCAGCTATTTGAATGGATAGAAAATATATTTCAATTGAAGTTTCGTGTTTCGTTTTCAGTAATTCATATGATTCGAACCGGACAAAAAAAACGTTGTAGATCGCTCGATATAATGTGCGCTATACCGGTAATTGTTCTCTGACTTGTAATCTACATCTTGTATACCGGTGGAAGTGTGAACAAACATGTGACATGAGAATATATTGATTTAATCTGATAAGCAATTATTTCTCTATATATCTTCATTTCTAGTCATATTCTGTTATACACTATATAAAAAAAAATATCAAGGACAATGTCTTGCCCTTTTGCAAGTAGTTTCATGTACGAATAATTATCATAGAAGTTTTTGTTTTGATATTAACGGATGATCGAAAAATGTGTAAATTAACATGTTTTTTTTTCTCTTTTGACGTGTTTCCAACGACTCAACGGGTATGAGTTTGTGCTCTTTTCGAATATGGACTTAGAAATATTGTCTCAGCTTTTGTTCGAAAGTAGTGAAATAATCTGTGAAAAACCTAAAAGATTAGTTTGGACGAAACTTACGGACTGACGTTTCTGATGATTGGGTTTGTTAAAGCATTTCAGAGGAGCCAAAAACTATAGGTCGCTACCAGAATAGTCAACAGATGTTTGCTTGCTCTATAAGTCTCTCTTCTGATATTGAACTAAGCTGTAGCTTTTGCTAAATCATTTTTCAAGAGACCCATTCAACGTAAACCGATTGCTGATTTTTTAAAAACAAATCTGATTTACAAACTGATATATAAATAAATATCCCAGCTTTTAGTTTCGAATCGTAATAATGACAATACAAAAATTTTTCGTCCAAACTAATTTTTTTGGGTTTTTCAAAGATTATTTCACTAGTCTCATTTAAAAATGAGTCAAAAATCCAGTAAACTGGTCATATATTGACGTTGAAGGTCAATAAGAATGAATTCTTTTTAAGGTTTTTCTATTCTCAGTGAGACCCACTTATAGATTGAATAGGAGTTGAAACAGCTGGTGTTACTCAGGATAGTTCCCTCGTCAATATTTTTTTTTTGCCTTATATCAAAGTAGAGCTACACATAGTGTAGTGAAAAGAAAATACTTATAATTTTTCGTTTAAATTACTTGATCAAATGCTGTCATAATATCTTTTGATAATTCAATATCTTTAAACATTCCTTCGAGTTTACTTGTAAATACATTTCCACATTCTATGAAATAAATGAAAATTAAATTTATAAAAAAACTATATATATTAGTTATTATCTAACCTTGTTTAAGTTTAAGTAACATAGATTTTTCAGCATCAACTGATGCACTTTTTCCAACTAATAAACGTTTAGCTAAATCTTTTTTATAAAATGCTTCAAATACATCTTTTCCATGAATAAAACGAAATAAAATAAGTAATTTATCAAGAATTTTTTCTAATTCTTCTTCTGTTGCTTCTTTATTTCCTGTACGTAATCGTGCATCAACAGCTTTAGCTAAAAAATAAAAAAATAAAAATAAAGAAAAAAAAAACAAAGAAATAAAAATTCTATTCAAACCAATTAATTCAGCCGGTTTATTTACACGTTGATTTATAAAATATTCAAATGAATCTTTAAGTGTATTTGAAAATTTTTCATTATTATGAAAACATTCATGAAGAAAACAATCTAATTTTTCTTTAAATTCAAGTAATTCATCAACCATTTTATCATCTTTATCAACATCAATTACTAATGCACGACCATGAACCTTTCAAAAACAAAAACATCAATATACTTTGTTTCTGTGAAAAATTCTTTCTTTATTACTTTAATATAATTTCCAAATGCTTCACGAAGATCTTGAATACCATTAGGACCAATTCGAAGAAATAGATCATACATTAAAGCAACAGATGTAAAACGATTGTCATCAATAAGTGCATCAAAATTTTTTGAAAGCATTTGTTTAATATGATTTGTTATTAAATTATTTTCAACAATATGAATTAATTGAACTCTAAAAAAATAATTTTCAAATATTAAAATTGTTTTTCATCACAATATATTTAATTTACTTTGTTGATTGATCAATATAAGTTTTAACTCGTAATTGTTCTTCATTAAGACGACGTTCAACATGTGAAAGATATTGACTTAATTCTAATGTTTGAATTAATTGACGACCTTCATTATGATATAATTCTTCAGTTGATTGTAAAAATGATGGTTCAAAATCTTTTTTATAAAGCTAAATAAAAATAAAAATATCAAGAAACATAGATCGTCATGTGATAAATAAATTTAGTTTAAGTCTTCAACCGGAAGATCCTGTTTACATGATATTTCATCACATTTATTTATTAAAGGATTTGAACTATCAGAGCTAGTTTGAAAACTATGGATTTAGTGTATCTGAATGCCATTGAAAATTTACGATTCTTAAAGAGATGTCCTCCAAATTTTTATGAATTCGCATGAATTGATGGCATAGAAACTAAAATGGTTCTTGTATATTGTTATAGTTTTACATTATTATTACGCTTCATTTCCAAATGAGTAACAATTTGTTTAATAAAACTTACATGAAGATCAATTAACATTCGAATAAGACTTTTCATTAGACTTCTATCTATTGTTTCACCTCGTCTTTCCTGTTCGATTAATTTTAGAAGACCACTGATACATCTAAATTAAAAATGATAATAAATAATTAAAATATTAAATTTCTTCTCAATAATACCTATTTGAAATTGTCGAATTTTGCATTACATAACAACGAAATAAATCTTGATTAAGTTCCCTAAAATTATAATTAAAACAAAAAATTTTCTTTTTAAATTAATAGTTCTATTAAAATATTTACCATATACTAGGAATAGCTGCATGTAGAACATAAGTTCGATCAAGTACAATAAATAATTGACGAATAAGAATCTGAAGACAAACATAAAAAAAAATTAATATATCAATCTAATTAAAATTACTCTTACCGATCGTACAATATGATCATTCCAAATAGAATTAAGTAATCGGAGATAATCACAACTGTCATTCACATCACTAAAAACAATAAAGTATTTAAAAAAAAAACTTAAATAAAAAAAAAGTTTTATCAATATAACCTAAGTAAAGGAGGTCGTAGAGTTTGTATATGGTCATCGAGTACTATCTTTAAATTTTCATAAAGAAGACTTGGTGAAGAAGTATTTGTTTCATTCGTTGTTGTTGTTGTACATAGATGATCAATATGACGATAAAGTTGTTCTTCATTTGTTGGACTATTTTTACCATTAAGAATAGCTTCAAGTGCTTGTTTAAGTAAAGGCCAAATTTTATCGAAATAATCCGGTGGTAGTGTAAGTGCAGAAGCTAAATGATAATTTTTTTTTTAATTGAAAAAAAAAGTTTTGTTTATGCTAACTTTTTAAGTTTTTTATCACAAGTTTTTTAGTCGTCATTGAAGAATTTTGTGATGAGAAAAAAGTAGATGATGCACCATTTGAGTAACGGTTACGTGTGTCTTTATCCATGAAATTAGTATTATGTTGTTGTTTAATTCTTTTTATCGGTGGTAATGAAGATTTATTTAATGAATTAGTACTTTCGTTTGACAAACTACTTTGATAATCTCGTTTCAAGCAGATTGAAGAATTTGTGTCACTGGTTCGTGACATTCACAAATGAATAAACATGGTTATTTTGTCTATTAAAATAAATAACGAAAAATGATTTAAACCGAAATATGATAATTTTTCTTTTCTTGATTTAACGATATTTGATTGATTTGTATCACAAATGGACGCTCTAGAGTAAAAATAAGAGCCAGCTGATTACATGAATCTTTAATATTATTGGTTGAATGTCTATCAATCAGAAAACAAATAAAATAGATCAATGAATCATAGCAAGATTTTCGAGACTTGCTGAGTTATTTATTCATTAAAATGGAATCTGTTTTGGAAAAAATTACTAAAACCCTTCTTTCTCGTACACCATATCCTACTCTACTTGCTCCACCATCAAGTGATCCTTCAAAACGTGTATCTAGTACACCATGGAATCAAAAAATACACGATGATTTATCACAATTACAAAAAGATTCTAATATATCTGTGTTTACTATAGCTAGTCTTCATTTATTCAATGATGATATTGGTTCATGCCATGATATTGTTGATAAACATATGGGTCATGGTATTGCTGATTATCTTCATTATTTACTTCATCGACGTGAAGGAGATTATTGGAATGCAAAGTGAATATTAATAAATAAAAAAGACAGCTCGTCTAATTATTGATTTCTTATTTTTTTTAACAGGTGGTGGGTTCGTCAATTAAGAAGTCAAGAATTTAAATCTGTTTACCTATCAGAAAAATATGATTCATTTAGTAATCAAAAGAATGTTGATAATTTATCAAACAGTGCTCAATTATCTGAAGCACAAAAACGTGCACAAGCATTTGTTGATCGATGTGAACAAGCAGAAAAACAAGAAAATGAAGAAGATACAAATTTATTAAAACAAATGCAATGGGATGAAATGAAAACAGTTTTTGAATTTACTCGAAGATAATTAATGAACTTTTTTCTATGAAAAACTAATTTTTTTCTATTCAATCACATGTAGCTTTTTTGATAGAGATTTAAAATTAAAAAAAGGCAATATTTCATCATTTAAGATTGATACAAAATCAAGAATGTATGTCGTAACAATGATTGATTTTTATAAAACGTTTAGTATATGATTGTCACAATTTATTCGATTATCACAATCTTCTTATGTGCATCTCTATAGATTGAGGAAGTCTAACCGTTGTCTTTGAGCTACTTTACGGTAGGAGATACTGCTTAGCGGTAGACTCAATAGCACAATATCTTCTCTACAGCTGTGACTAGTTGTAGCTTTGAAGAAAAGGTCGGTTTGACACAAACTTCTTGTGGTTCCCATACGCATTAACTAATCACAGTAGATAGTGTATGTTACAATGTAGTCAACATGCTATCGGACGGGTGATCTGAGACAAATAGCCGTTATTGATTTGTTCAGAATGACTTCCTGGCTAGTGATGCTGAGATTTGCACACAGGATCTTGTATATACATGCCGAATAATGTAGCCACTCAATCATGGTCGCTGATTCCCTACACTAAGATTTAATATACGCTTACTAAATAGAAACAATAGTTTGTTTCGTCCGAAAAATCAAAATTGAGATAAATGCATGCGAATATAATTCGAGATCTGATCTTTCACTAACAGCATGAGTTTTTTTTGTTATCTCGTGTTTTTAGCCAAAGTTTTTGAGAACTTACGCTACCTTCTGCTTGAAAAGCATGGTTTTCTTCAGACAGAGCGGGAAATCTTTTTCGTTTTTTTTCTGTTCATGTTTTTCGGATCATGTGTCCCAGAACTTATTATAATTATTTGCTTTTCTTTTGCTCGAAAGAGCGTATATGAAAATGCAGTCTTTTTTCAATTAAGCTTTATTATTATTGTATTAAAATGCACTTGTGTAAATATCCGACTATTTTTCGAGGTATTGAACTTGTAATTCCTTTTTATCCGCATAAAAAATAAGAGTTTTTAAAAAAGGTCATGGCCGTCTACCATGGTCTTTGAAATAAAAAAAATTAAATCTATAAAACAAGAGCCCAAAGAGAATTTTCAATTAGCAAGTGTACGATTTTTGACCCTTGTTTGTTGGATATCTTCTGAAAATATCATGATATATGGTTGAAAACTTTAGCATAGTCTCTCCATTAGGGCCGTTACATATTCTGAAAATTTCATACAACTTGAATGCACTTAAGTCAAGATCGATTTGGAGGGAGCGAGATTTGAGGATTAAATATAAGCTACAGAAGTGAGGATTAGCTGTTCGAGCAGAAAAACTCAAGTTCGAAATTTATACAAATTGTGATAATCATTGCTATAGAGTTCGAACTGGCACCATTTTTTTGATCAATACAAGACGGTTAAGTTTTGTTTCTGATGTTTTTTTTTTGTAAATCCTGTATCTGAGGAATATGAACTTGCATTGTATCGAAACTTTTCTAGTTTTGTAAGATGTGGGTGTGAGTAGAATAGAAGTCTCTCGCCCACTCACGCACACATTCCTACTAAATCAAAAACATTGTTTTTCGTCTTTCTAGAAATTAGTTTTTTTGAGTATTTCGTTTACACGAGCAAAGTTTTCTTAATGACGGCTCCATATGAAATTGTTAGTTTTCTCTATTGCACAGTCATAATAGAGCCTGTTTTATTGAATTTTTCGTTTTTTGCTGAAAAAAGACGTATATCTTTGATTTTAACTAATGATTAGTTAGACCACAAATTGGAGAATTTTTCGCAGAAGTTTTGTTTTACACTAAACAAACGAAATTGAAGAAGAATGATTCTTTTGCCACCTAGCCCTAAGTGTATTTTATAATTTAAAACCCATCCCGACATGTTAGCTCGTATCTTCATATTGAAAACCTTCCCTACATGAACGATACTTTTCACCAATGAATACATTATCGCTCGTGAGTATCTTGGAGATATTTTACCTATACTCTATTCTAGTCAAGACAAACATTTTCTGAAATTGCAGTTGAAATCGGGTGACAAATAAAAAAAATTATTTCTGAAATCTTAGAGGGGCTCTCATATAAAACTGAAGACTATATTGATAAGATCGTCATATGAGATGCTAATATTTTTGAACTTAGAATGAGATTTAGCTTGCATACCAATTCCAACATTTGTTTTCTTGATACAAAATAATTGTTCAAGTTAAAATCAAAACTTAACATTTTATATTAATTAAATCTATTATTTATGTTCTACAAAAAAAAAACAACTATTAATGTACTATTGCTTAAGATGTAAAATTATATATATATTTTTGTAATGAAAAACAAATTTCATCTGTTGTAAAAGGTGTCCATTGATCTGTTAAATTAGGGTCAAGTAATATTGCAAGAATATCAGGTTGATTTTTTTTCTTCTTTGATAATTGTTTATTAATCATTATTTTAATTAATTTTCTTCGTTCATTCAGCATTGATTCATTTTGAAAATCATACGGCGGTAATTGACGATAACATAAAAGTGGATAAATACATAATTCATAGATTTTTATAAATTCTTCTCTTTGTTGTCGATAATTTAATTCTTTAGATCGATTATATAATTTATTTAATACATAGATAAGATCAGGTTGTTCAAGTGTTTGATAAAATGTGCTAAGAAATATTGAATCAAGTGGCATAGTTGATAAATTATATGAATGATAACATTTTTGTAATTGATAAGCAAGTTCATTACGATAAAAAAAAAGTATTTGTATTAAATTTATTGGTACAATCATAGATGTAACAGGTAAATTATCATAAAGTAAATCAATATGTTTTTCACGGGATTCTAATGAAAATCGAATATGTGCTTGTTTATTACGATTAAATCTTCCTGATAAACCATCTGTAGGAAAATTTTTATATTGTGAATCAAGAAGAATATTTAATTCATGAAAATGTCCACCATGTAAAAGTTCATTATAATTTTTTCTTTCACTCATAACTGAAAATTGATTATCATCAAATGGTATCATTATCCAACCACAACCAATTTCACATTTTTCATTATATTCTTTTAATTGACATAATTGGGATAATTCAATAAGTAAATGTATATGTTTGGATGGATCAAATTCATTTGAACGTATAAGTAATTTAGCTTGTTCATCAATAAATGTATTGTCATCACTGACTGCAAAATACCAATCTTCAGTTAAATCACGTTCATTGACTTTATTTGATATGTGTGCTCGAATTGCATGAATATTAGAAATTATTTTAAAGCCATCGTATAAACATATACGAATACAACGGCAAAGCACATCAACCTATATAGAAAAGAAATAAATGAAAGGCACTGCCCACCCCTCGCTTTCGTAACCCGACATTTTTTTTGTGGATACTGTAAAGTTTGAAGTAGCATCTATCTGCTGAGAATATTTTCGAATCGAAAGATTGTCTTAATACGTTAAAAAATCATGTCGGATCGAGCTGAAACTTTTTTAAATATCTGTTTGAGATGGGTATTTTCTTTTTGTTTCCAAAGGGCAGCTATCATGATCCCAGTATCTCATAGAAGATAGCGTCTGGAAACTTTGAATCTATGACAAATTTTGCTCTACACATCTTAAAAGAGAAAGACATTATAGATTGTGACATACTTTTTGACTTTGAATTTTTGGTATTTTTGAACATTTTTGAATTCTTAAAAGTTTTTGATATTTAACTTGTTCAAGACATATTTGATCTATGTCATATCGCCAATGAAGATCAGTAAAAGTAAAATTCGATTCAGTCATTTTCGGTATAAGAGTATGTGATAATTTATATTGATTATATTGAGTTAATGGTGATAAATCTGATACTATAAAACCTGATGGTATATCATTTTTTGTTTTAAGTGCATCAACAACTGTTGATGGCGATGTAACTGGTTTTATTCGACGTCGTAATCTTTTATCGGATATTCGAGATTGAAGTTGAATATGATTAATAGGCACCATACCTTGTTCTTGAGTTTGAGGATTTTTAAATAACCACCAATTGTCAGGTCTTTGTTCAACAAGTATCAATATTTCATCTTTATGTATTGTTAAATCACCAGTTTGAAGACCGATTAAATTATTTATAACACGAAATTGTGTACCTGGTGGATATGTTCTCATTCGAAGTTCTTGTACACGTGCATGAACTATAGTTGATTTATCTTCATGACTAGGTTCTTCTTCTTCGCTACTTTCGCGAAATTGTTTAAGTTCATTTTCAAGTGTTTCTTCTTCGAAATATGAATCATCTCCACTTTCATGATTATTTTTTACTGTCTGTCTTTGTGGGCTTGATGTTCTTTTATGAGATAATTGAGTTGAAGTTGATGTAACAGTAGTTTTTCTAAATACTGCTGGTGATGATCGTGTTGATGGAACTTTGATTATTGATGGTGTTTTATTCGTACGTGATGATGCTGATGTTTGCGATGAACTTTCACCGTTGTCGGAATGTTTTGAATTATTATCTTGTATTTTTTTACTTTGAATTTCATTTGATATTTGACGATTGCCGTTTACATCATCTTCAATTTCATCACTAGAATTTTCTGTGCTACTTGTTGATTGAGATGTACTTGATGATTCTACAAAGAGAAGTGTTCTTTGAAAAAAAATATTAATAAGATTTTACTTTGTTTTCTATTTGTCGCATTATTATCGTCGTCATCATCATTCTCTTCACTTTTTTCGTCACTACTCATTGTTTCATCAGTGGATTCCGATGATGATGATGATGATGATGATGATGGTTTTTGTGCAGCTGTCGTCGATGATGGTGTTTTCTTTGTTTTCCCGAATGAAAATTTACTAAAAAGTGCTCCAAATCCTTTTGAATTTTCATTTTGAGTCGATACAGTTGAAGCACTTAAAGGTTGAGTATTGCCAGACATTGTTTCAGTTGCTTTTTCAAGATGTTGATCAACTTGTTTTAGTTTATTTGAAAGATCGGATAAAGTTTTTAAGGCATTTTGTTTTGATTTATCAAATTGTTTTATTGACCAATTTGGATTTGATTCTTTTGTCATAGTATTCATTTGTTGTTCAAGATCGTTTATACGTTCTGTTAGAGTTTTTATTGATCTTTGACCTTCTATTAAACGATCACGATTAGCAATCGCTTTCTTTGGCCTAGTATCAACTTTTTCTAATGTTTTTATACTCTCTTTTGCATCGATTTTAACTTGATCAATTTCATTTAATAGTTGTTGCATTGTTTTAGTCGATGGCTTTGCTACTGTCTCTGATGATTGTGAATCAGCATGTTTTAAAATAGCTTGTGGTACTTGTTCTTCATCACTTGTTGACATCTTCAAATAGATATATCTATAACGAATACAAATCAGTGTGTAGTCGTATCAACCGTAGTTAAATTTAAGTAGTTTAGTAGCCATTAGAAAATGCATAGAAACAGACAATGATATTAGAGACATCTATTGATAGACCAACATTCGCTCAGTTTTGTGCTTGCGGCAATCAGAATACATTTTATCTATTAGATATGATACATAAATAGAACTTTCTATTATTATTATTTGGAAGTTAATACAATGATCTTTTATTATGTACCAAAAGATTTATATAGAAAGAATCGTATTTTTTAGAATTAACAAAATTGAAAAAAAACGAAAAAATATCGAAATTTGACCTGCTTTCGTCAATATACAAATCATTACTCATTATTTTACTTGCAAAAATTTACTTTTCTTAAATACAATTTAGTAGTTTTTCAATGCGAGAAACGTTTTATCACATCCTTTGGTTATATAAATCTTTATTTCATAAACAAACATATGAAAGAAATTTCGGAAGTTATTGTTTACTTCAAAGACTTATCCTTTTTAATATGTATGTTTAAACATAGGATTGATTGTAAAATGAGCTTCACAATTAGACAATATGCTTTCAAAGCAAACAACTTTTTTTTCATTAAATAGATTAAACACTAGTCGTATTATTGAATTTTAAACAATAAAAAAAAAGAAACTTTTTTAGTACAAACGAGGTATTCATTAATTTCTGCTATGTCGAAAAAAAGATTCAATATATGATGATGATGATGATGATCATCCTTTATTCTTGTTCTATCGTAAATGTTAAAATTTAATTTTATCCAATTCAATCTTGTATGTCGGTGTTATTGATAATGCATTTCATTTTTTTTTTCTTTAATACAATGTCAATTAACAAATATTTGCTGCCATATTACTACAACTAGAGTTTTGTTGCTAGAACTCATTTAAACATCCACTTATTGACGTAGGCGATGTAGAACATCATTTGTCGATAAGTAATACTGGTCCAACAAGAGAAAAAAAGAAAGACGATACACATTACTAGTCTTTATTTGTCGTTCTTTTGATTAAATTTAAATATGAAAAATATAGAAGCAATAGGCATCGTCATCATTTTTTTTTCGTGCTTCGTTTTCTCATTTAGATTTTTAGATGAGCCAGCAATGTCATGGCCAGAGGGAAGAAAAAAAATGAAAAAAATAGCTTTTAACGAAATGAGAGTGAGGTAAAGCGCGCGCGCGCAAGAGAGAGAGAGTGAGAGACAAAGAGATGTAATGATCAAATTACGAAAGGACAACAATAAACACTCATAACGAATGACGCGATGGTAAGTAGAATGATGACGATAACACGAAGAGGGTGTATGAACGGTTGATGATCTGAAAGAAAAGAAGTGGGAACAAAAAAACTGTACTTTAGCAAAGAGGATGATGACGTGCTTTTCGCTTTAATATTAAGAATAAAAACGAGAGTGAGAGGATCAACGTTAGAAATAAAAGAGAGATTTGTTAAGAAAATTCTCATTTAATCATTGTGTAATCATGTCTATTTGTTTGTCGTTGTAAAAAAGCATTTTATTATATTCGAAGTATTGTTTTCATGTAAGTATTTCTCTCTCTCTCCCTCTCTCTTGTTTTAGACGTCAATCGACCTTCATTCGTCTATTTTTATATTTATATCGTACAACATCTTAAGCTTCTATTTGAACCCTGCTCGTATCACCTTGCATTGTTATTATGAAGCCGATTTCGTTAGGTGTTTGTATTGATTAATTTACATTTTCTTTTTTCTTGTTCGGTGTCGCGAGACGATTCAATTGATAGATAGATAGATATACATACATAAAGCTTCTTTTCTATCTCTTTCTACCTTCTTAAAAGTATTCATATCAAACTGAATAGACAGACTGATGCGTATTTGCTTAGAGCTTAAATGAACACGTGCTGATGCTAGTGTTGTTGTCGTAGAGAGGCGATTATTGCATCTTTTCGTTCGAATAATGAACAATACACATATTCATACATACATACATACATACATACATCGGTCAACGACAAGCAAGTGCCAATATACTTTGGATGATCAAAGTTTGCTTTATTTCTCTGTCTATTGATAATTACACTTGTCGATAGTTAGATGATTACATTTTCATTTATTTTTTCGTCTACGTTCTAGATGGCATTTTCACAGTTTCGAATATTATTTAAAAAAAATTTTCTTCTTCGTCGTCGACAACCGGTAGATATTTAATTAATTAAAATTAATTTATATTTGTTTTTCTTTATTAATATTATTTTCAGGTACTTTTTCTTTTTGAACTTGTATGGCCTTTATTACTTTTTTGTATTGTTGCTATTGTCCGAAAAACTTCACCTACTCAAAATCGACCAGCATGTAAATTAATTTCCAAAGAAAAAATTCTCTCTTTACATAATATTTGTTTGTTTCTTATTAAAAATAGGTTATTATAATCCCATGCCATTACCTAATAGTGGTACAATCGGTTTTCTTCAAAGTTTTTTGTGCAATACAAATGTTAGTTGTCGTTTAAAGCCCTTCGATGTTCAAACATCGTCGTTAAGAAATTAGTAAGACTAAATAAAATATGCTTTTTCTCAAAAAACAAAATATATTTTTCATTGAAATTTTAGTTTTCCATCTGTTTATGATGGAATACTTGGTTTAACAGACACAGAAGGTGTAAATACTCTTTTATATAATTTACCTAATTTAACACGTAGTGTTGATCATATAAATAATGCATTCAATGATACATTTTTACAAAAAATCTTAGATGGAAAATTTTATATGTATGATTTATTTAATAATACAAATGAATTTAAAAATGATTTATTATTGACTGGAATGCCAAATGATTCAATTGATCATTTTTTAAATGGTTCATTTAATTTAACAGAAATTTATGAAACATTTAATAAAACAATTAATATAGAACCATTTTGTCGAAATCATTTTCTTAATCATTTTCTTACTGTTGATAATTCAACGAATCCTGATATTGTTATTCAAGCATTATGTCAATTAAATATTAGAAATCTTACAATGGATATTAGTACATTTATTAATCAACTTAATTATGATACAATTAATCAATATGTAAGTTTCATAAAAAAAAATATTTATCAATAAACAAAAAATACTTTCTTTTTTATTTATTTAAGTTTGGTAATATTTCTCAACTGATAAATGGACAAGAACTTAGAGATAAAATTCAACAATTAAAAAGCCTTGAAAATATTATAAAACAATTAAGTACATATGCAGACTTATTAAAAAATATGCCAAATATGACAGAAATAGCACGAATTATTCCACGTTTAATACAAATTGTTGAACTTGTACAAAATCAACGAGATTTAATACAACTGTAAGTTTAAATTGAATTATCTCAGTACATTTCATTCGAAATCTAACACAATGAAACAGTTTTATTTCGGCTGTTAGATGAGCAGACCTACTATACAAATAGTATAAAACATAAATTATACTTCACGAAAAATTATTTTCTGAAAATCTTACAGCAGGTCTAAGATGATCTTTCTCAGTATCGGAGTCAAGGAATAGAGTTCGATGGTTCTAAAAGTTATTTGGAACCGGTTCCGGTTTGATTCTCAGTTCCATTTTTTTTATCACCGTCGAACTCTACCCTTCACACATCTCTTTATATTTCATTTCTTTCAATCAAGTAATTATATACTTTACTTTTTGCTCAAAAGCTTTTCTTGAAACTATTAAAACTGATGAGATGAAGTATTTTTACTTACGAGAAAATTCACCCCGTGGGTTAATCGCTTTTGAGTTGAAAACCTATTCATCAAGTAAACCCTGATCAGTTATGAATACCCTGAAGATAGTTTGTGTTATTAATTTATTACTGCCGAAACACTGTATTTTTCGAGTCAAAGTCGTCTTTCATCTTTAGGAATACCGGTGAAACTGATTGTCGAATTTCAACTTCATATTTTTGCATAGAAATAAGCCTTAATAGTGCACACTTTTTTTTACCTATTGCTGATTTGCCCAAAATTTTTACCATAGATAGAGTATCTAAAATAAAGAGGCATATGTTCAATGACAATAATTTTAAACAAGGTTTTCGCGGTTTGCGGAAAATATTAGTTTTTCATAGGATTATATTGGGCTCACTTTCAACCTTGTACAGATAGCCTGAAAATTTAAAAAAAATACTTTAAAATATATCTCAGAGGTTGTTTTAAGAGTAAAAAAGTCTCTTTTCCTATAGAAGAAATACGTGACGCTTTGGATTCAAAACCAGGGTATTGGTGATTAGGATTCTACTTAGGGCATATCAAAAGTAGTGAGAGTGACACTTTAATATCATATAGTAAACTTAAAGAAACTTTCTTTGTATATAGTCTGATAGAGAGAAAAAAACGCTATCTTTCTATGCTATTTGATCATACTTCAACTAATATCATAATAATGAAATTTCGATAAGATATGTTTCATTATCATATGTGCTAGTTGTATTAATACTTATTTTAANGTCTTCGTAAAAAGTATCATTTATTCCTTTGTTTTTCTTTAATTTTTTAAAGATAAATGATTCATTTACATTTATTTTTTTTAAAATAAAGTATTCCTTTATTTAATTAACTTTATTTTTTAAAAATAAATGATCATTTATCTTTATTTTTAAAAATAAAGGATTTATTTACCTTTATTTTTTAAAAGTAAAGGATTCATTTACCTTTATTTTCTAAAGTAAAAGTAAAGTACCACCCCTAACTACTATACTGATTTCACAAAAGCATATGTAATAAAGTTTGTGTTTGACATTTGTCTTCTCAGTTTCAGTTGCATTTTTCATTTCGTTATCAAAGCATGTACTATAATATCATTTAAACATATAAATTGCTTGAATTATATAGAAAATATTTATGGAAACTATTTCCGCTAACTTTTGGCACATCCTTGACACTAAGATTTCATAGATGAACTATGATGGCAAAGTTTTTAGAAAACTCGAATACGGTACTTTTCAAGTCTCCAGAAGACTAGTTTTTAACAATGCTATTTAAAAGAGAATAGAATGGGAGGTCGTTGCATTTTGTGGAATTTTTTAAAGGAAAGATCATAGAAAATTACTCAACCCCTTATTTTGTTCCCTTTAAAACGGCACAAAGACTTCTGAGACCTGAAAACTACCGTTATTAGTTTTCAAAATCACTAGCTAGATTTGAGCAAGGCACTTAACATTAGTGTTTTATCTAGTGTGAGGATCGAGGGAACGATGCCTCTCCGAAAAATTAAGTGACTCTTTCGGAGTTAAAAAATCACTCCGGCAGAAGAGAATATCTGGATATAATACACTTGACATTATCGGAAAAATGAAAACTACGTTGTTGTTACACTTTTCTCCCACCATTTTCAATAAATTTAATGTTATATTATTTTAATTTTTAAAGGGGCGATTAGAATCACCAGGCGATCTTAACACTATTTTTTGTAATCAAAACGAAATTAAAAATTATGTTATTTCATTTCATGATCCAATTAATATATTACAATGGAGTTTATGTGTTTCGGAATCATTATATATTCAAGGTTATCAAGAATTTATTAATCAATACGGTGGACCTCTTCAATTGAAAGTAAAATTTGAAATGTTTTACAAGTTTTGATTTTTGATTTCGTTTTTTGTTTAAGAAATTTAATGGTTTCAATATTGAACGTCTCATTAATGAAATGCCAATGATTAGAGGTGATTTTGAATTATTAAGTAATGAAAACCAATGGTTAATGGCACTTATTGATGGAATCAGTAAACAAGACTTATCACCAAAAGAAATTTATACATTATTTATGAATTTTACAACTTATCTTCCACAATTTCAAAGATTAAAATCAAAGTAAAAAAAACGATTATTTGAATTTTTAGCTTAATCATCCTTTTAACTTCATCATTTTGTAGTGTTTCACATCTTGTTGAAAAATATTTTTGGGCCTTACCAGATGAATCAATGCAATATATGATTTTATCTATTGTTGATGGTCTTGAAATAATAAATAATTTGAGTATTGTATTACAAGATAGCTTAAAAGGATGTAAGTCATAAAGAAAAGAAAATTAAATATTTCAATACATTATTTTTTTTGTTCGCTTGTAGTACCTGCAAAAGATGTATTTCAAAATTTTACATTTATTACTGATAAATTAATGCGAGATTATGGTTTTTCTAATTCAACAATTGAACTTTTTAAACGATCTCGTTTATTTAAAGATCCAACAGTAAATTCATTATTTGTTTTACATATTAAATATAATTAAAATACTTTTTTCTTGTTAGATTTTATTTAATCTATATTCTGACTATCAACAAACCGTGTGTGATGTTAATTTATTAAATACAACAATTTATAAAGTTTGGCCTTATTTACAATTTAATGCAAATATGAGTATAGAAAAATTATCAAAATATGCATGTGATATGTCATTAGAAAATCAAAGCAAAGTTATTAATATAATATTTAAACACTTTCTGGTACCAGAGAAACTTCAAATGGTAAAAAAGGATATTTTCAATTGATTGTAAATATATATTTTTTTTTTGTTAAGTTTTATAAACGTGGCGGACGTCATATTGTTAATTTATTTAATATGGATGAAAAAGAACTTGATGTTTTTAAACAAGTTGGTCCTATTATAAGTGATGTTAATGAACTATTAAAACGTGTTAAAAGATTAAATCAACAAATTGATACATCAGAAAGTAAGATAATCATTTATAAAATATATTTTTCTTTTTTTTTGTTGTGGCTTTGTTATTTTTTTGAAAAATTTTTTAGATCAAGATCAATTTTCAAAAATAACAAATATATTTTGTGCTGAAGTTGATAAACCATCGAATCCACAAAGACAAGTTGCTGATGAAGAAACTATCTTTGAACAACTTAAAGATGCATTAAAAAGAACAAATCAATCGGAATCATCGCGTCAACAAACTTCAGAATCAATTGATGAAGGTAAAATAATGAAAGTTAATTTACTAAAACAAAAAAAAATAACTTGTTTTATGTTTATAGAAGATGGTGTTGATTGTTCAGATATACGAAGAAGTATTGAACAAAGTAGTGATGTTGGATATATTGTTTGGCCATTGATTAAACCATTACTTCTCGGAAAAATTTTATATGCGCCTGCAACACCAGTTTCTAATGCAATTATTGCAAAGGTAAATTTTCAATTTGTTAGTAATATAAATTTGGTTGTGTAAGCTTGAAATGAAAAGAAAAAACAATCATTCGATCGAACTGATGGCCCTTTCCTATGTCAATAATTGTGTGTCTATAGGTGATACATCGTGTTCTGAGAAAAGCCCTAAAAGAATTTGGGTTGACTAAACTATCAAATTTTTAATATCTATTTTCTAGAAGTCCCAGGTTTTCGAAAAACTCGTATTTTCAAATTTTGATCTGAAACTTTGCATATATAGAGAACTCAACGAGACTAATTTTCATGCAAAATTCAGAAATTTTGAACAAAATCTCTTTGAGATATGAAGCTTTCAAAAAATCCTGTTAGCATAATCGATGAGGGATTAAAGTATGAAATACGATGTAGCTGTTGTTACTAATCCGATGGACATTGTTTTATTCTATCTATTTCGAGACACATTTGTTCATAACGAAGCGTCATTGATACACAGCCTGTGATCATATGGGCCATGTTGATCACGTCTATGATGAGCCGCCCTTCGCGTGTCTGTCACGGCTGTGTCAGAGTGGGTTCAAATTTCTAACTCTAAACTTCAACAGCTTGTTTTAGATCGTCTTTCACAAAATGTATGTTGTATATACTACCCATGGAGAAGTATATATATCTTGAAAGTCTTATATCTCCAAGCGACTTTGTTCAAAACCTCTAATATTTCTTTATGGAAGTTCGTCTAGTTGAGTTCTCTATGTGCATAGAGTTTCAGATCAAAATTCGAGTTTTTCGTAAACCTTGGGTCTCTAAAAAAGCATTCAATAGCTCAGTCAAATTCCTTTAAAATTTTTATTAGAACACTATGCAATATCTATTAGCAAAAACTCATGGAAATGAGAAGAAGAAGGCATCTCAGAAGGTTCCCTTGTCAGTAAGGTACAGGGTATAATAAAAAGCTTTCTCTACACACGACTACTTTCAGTTTTGTTTTTAACATGTGAAATGAATGCTCTAAAAATTGTACAAGCCAATCTAAAAAATCCTATAATAGACATCAATCGATATATCTCGATTTAAAATACTTTTTTTTTCATAGGTCAACAAAACATTCGAAGAATTGGATAAAATTCATCAATTTGCAAAAGCTTGGGTTAAGTCTCCACTTAATTTAACAGCTGTATTTGGTGATCTACAAAATACCAATAATATTAAAGTAAAAATAAAACTAATCGAAGAGAAAAACTTATCTAAATCAATCGTTTTTCTTTGTTATTATTTCTAGAAAGTATTATCAAATCATTTATTTCAAGAATTATTTAATAATATAATTGGAATAAATACATTTGATATGGAATCAATAATATCAATGTTAGAAAATTTTAGTGGTGGAGCAAATACAGATGTTTTAAAAAATATTGAAATGATTATGAAACAATTTAGTGATTATTTACCATGTATTGAATTAAATCGTTTTGAAGCACTTCAATCGGAAAGTGAACTTGTTGAACGAGCTAAAGAATTACATCGAAATCGAATGGTTATTGCTGGTAATAAAAAAAAAAAAAAAATTTTTTTCTATGAAAATAATTTACATATAATCTTTTTTTTCTTAGGAATTGTTTTTTCAAATTTAAATAGTTCAAATCCAAATGCCAATTTTCTTCCACCACATATTCATATTAAAATTCGTATGGATGTTGATAGTGTACGAACAACAGAACAATTAACAAGTTGGTTATTTTTTCCTGGCCCTGAAAATGATTATTTTCGTGAAATGCATTATCTACGAGGATTTATACAATTACAAGATTTAATTGAACGTGCTGTTATTGATTTACATTTTGAAGATACTGATAAAATATCAACAAATCCTGTTGTTTATATGCAATTAATGCCTTATCCATGTTATCGTGGTGATCCGTAAGTTGATTTTGTATTTATTTAATATATTTTTTTCTGTCGGTTTAATTTAGTGGAAAAGAATCATCGTATGTTAATTATTTTATTTTACCAATATTGGGAACATTGATGTGGACAGGTAAAGATTGAGTTTTATATTTAAATACAATAATGTTTTTGGAAAATATTTAGCTACATTGGGTGTATCTATAAAAAATTTAATGCGTGAACGTGAAAGAAATGTGGAACAAGTATTGATTGAAATTTATTTTTTTGTTTTAAATTCGTTTTATTCTTGTTTAGACAATGAAAATTATGGGTCTTAATTCGACTGTAAATTTTATTTCTTGGTTAATTACTTCCTATATACCAATGATTTTTGTATCGATTATTGTTGCTGGTAAAGCGTAGAAAAACAAAAGATTTTTTTCAAATAGACTTTTATGTTTTAGTTGTTCTTAAATATGGTGGAATTTTTCCAGCATCGGAACTTACTGTAACCATAACACCATTACTTACTCTTGCTCTGTCAGCATTAATGCTTGGGTTTGTATAAATTCTATAACTAAAAATTAATCAAGACTATCAAAATCGTTTTAACATAATGATAACCTACAGCGTCTAAGATGTTTTTGAGGATTTATCATAAAATACATAATTGTATTTATTCTCCTATCATTATTGAATCATATTATAGGTTGATTGGGCACCAAAATAAAGTTTTTTGTGTTTAGAAGATAAAGTATACTGAATTCATCTGTGCTGAAGATTAAGATTTAGTTTCACAGTGAGCACATAGAGAGAATAATGTATATCTTGCACGATGTAAGTTTTACACGACCATCAAAGATATTACTTCCAACGAAAAAGTGTTGACCCTGATTAAAAACAAAACATTAGTCCAGAATTCGCCGGAGCCGGCACCATCTTGTCCATATTTCTTACGGAGATAGTATCAATGAATATTTATGGGATAACTAACAATTATATTTCTTTAATATAAGTTTGAAGTTGTAAGATCATCATGCTGAATTAAAAAGATATATTTTTATCTCTTTAATTTGGATCAACGAATGACGAGCTCAATCTTTTGGAATTTATGTATGGGCGCTATTGTAATATTTCTTAGAGTTTTGCTAAGAACATTATATACTAGATGCAAAGGTCTAGATCACTTTTAGAAGTGCAAGGGACTAAAAATTTGACAGACAGTTTCCGACGACAACTTAAAGCAAGAAGAGGAATTAGTCCCTTCCACATCGAGGTCTATGATTAAATGCTAAGCAAGCCGTTTGATTGTAGTGATTTTACTTTGGATATTTTTGAATTTTGTCTGCTTAGTTTGAAGAAAGTTTCAATTAATTATCAATTCTATTCTTGAATAAAATTATGGATTATTATCTAATTTAATTATTGATCTTTTAGGTATTTAGTTAGTGCTTTTTTTACCAAAGCAAATTTAGCTACATTATGCGGCATATTAATCTATTTTATTTCCTATCTTCCATTTATTCTTGTCATGTTTCTCGAAGCTAAAATGCAATTAATTCATAAAATATTAATTGTAAGTTGATTAAAATTATTTTCGTTTTTGTTTTTAAATATTCTCGAATTCATCAAATAGAATTTATCAAGTGCAACAGCATTTGGTTATTCATCAATATATTTAACACGTTTAGAATATCAAGGTGACGGTATTCAATGGAATACAGTTTTTAAAAATATCTTTCCTAATGATCAAATGAATTTTGGTATTGCTTGTGTAATGATGTTGGTAGATTCAATTATTTATGGTATTATTGGCAATTATATTCGTTCGATATTACCGCATAAAAATGGTCGTAGAAAACCATTTTGGTATCCATGTTTACCATCAACATGGTGTTTTTGTAAGAAATCAAATCGTTTCGATGGACTTGATTCAGGATTTCGTATTGAGCGTGATCATCAACCAAATCCATTTACTGCTCGAATGAAACGTAAGATAAGACCTTTAAACATGATCTAAAAGGAGTTTTGAAGTATAATGGTAGAAAGAAGAGTACCCTTACCTTGCGATATGAACTACTGTCTAGAAAAGTTCTTGTGTGTCCCATACACACGAACTAACCACAGGAGTAAGTGCACGTTACAACCTAGTCAGCATACCATTGGAAGGGTGATTCGAGACAAATAGCTATTAGTGACTTGTCCAGGTTTATTTCATGGCTAGTGATACCGAAGTTTGCATACAGCACCTTGTGGGCCCATGTTGTGTAATGCAGCCACTCAGCCATTGCAGCTTCTTAAGAATAGAAGTTTGAACTAGACATCAGTGTGACCGGTCACGACCATAAAATACCCTCGATCTAATTGCCGTTTGCTATGTTGTCACTATGAAGCGCCATGAAAACTCCATGGTAACCTCAATCAGATTCAAGGATATTCTATGATCGTGACTGGACGTGACCGATCACACCGATGTTTAGTTTGACTCCTCCCACAGATAGTGGTGTACCCGAGGGTTCATGGGTGGTAGGACAGTGCCCTACAGTTCTGGAGGTAATCCATACAATATAGTATCAATGATAATAATTATTACGTTTTTCTTTGTTCTGATGGTAGAGTGACGCCCGACCTAGCCCACTTTTGATTACACCACTATCCACAGGTATGAGAGGCGTGCTAGCAATAAAGTCTATTGAATCCTCAAGTATAATATGATCAAAATGATTAGAGTACTTAACAAATTGAACAAATCTATTGTGTTTTTTTATCTATAAATCCTAGAGGGAAAATGTTAACAGTCTTTTTTATATATTGATAGAAATTGATCCAAATAATGAGCAAGAACCAACAAATTTACCAGTTGGTATTTCAATTGAAAATTTATCAAAACAATTTGGTGAAAATAAAAAAGCTGTTGAAAATTTATCATTAAAACTTTATGAAAATCAAATAACAGCTTTACTTGGACATAATGGTGCTGGAAAAGTAATAAATATTGCTTATAATTTTCTTGAAATAAAGAAAAACAAATCATCTTTTTCATTTATTTTTAGACAACAACAATTAGTGTTTTAACTGGAATTTATCCTCCAACAAATGGTTCAGCAAGTATTTATGGACGAGATATAACAACAGACTATGAAGAAATAAGAAAAAATGTTGGTTTATGTCCACAAGAAGATATTTTATTTGATTTTATGACTGTTCGAGAACATTTACAATTTTATGGTCGTTTAAAAGGAAATATGAGTTCAAAAGAATTAGATCGAGATATAAATGAGTATGTTTAATTAAATTGTATAAGATAAATATATTTTATTTTTTGTTATGTAGACTTTTAAGTAGTATGGGTTTATGGACATTTCAACATGAACGTGTTTCATCATTATCTGGTGGTGTAAGACGACGTGTTGCAGTTAGTATTGCATTTGTAGCTGGTTCAAGAACAGTTATTCTCGATGAACCAACATCAGGTGTTGATCCATGTGCAAGAAGAAGTATTTGGGAAGTTATATTTAAACATAGAACTGGTAGAACTATTCTATTAACAACACATTATTTGGATGAAGCTGATACTTTAAGTGATCGTATTGCTATTATTCATCAAGGTTAGTTTTTATTTTATTTGATAATGAAATGTAAACAAAACGAAACGTAATAATATTTTTAAAATGCTGATTTGCAGTGAAAACTATTGGATACATTTCATAAAAACAAATACAATAAGTAAATTATTCGATTTGAAAGTAGAAAAGTGAAAGGACTTTTTATTTCATTATTGAAGCGCTCAAAATCATAAAACTTCAAAAATCTTAGACAATGTTTTCTAGAAAACTGATAATTGCTTTGATATTGAGGGCGAATACAAAATCTCTTTCTCATCCAAAAGAGAATGTATGATCGAATGAAAAAAAAATCGCGGTTTACTAGAACGGACACACTATCGAAAAGAAATTTGTTCGAAATGCAACAATTTATGAACACCTGAACACTCTTTTGTATGTATAGTTGAGGAACTTTCTGACAAGAACATCAAACATGTTTAAAAACTCCTCTAGAGTCTAATCAAATAATCTTCTAGATACTTGTTGGGACCGTCACTGCAATAGCGTTTATAATTTTCCTGCCGTTATTCTTATGGTTTTTCAAATTAGACATCTTAGAGATCATGCCTATATGTTTACCTAAAAAAATATGTCTTTTTTTCATTATTTAGGTCGATTATTATGTAGTGGTTCATCAATGTTTTTAAAGAAACGTTTTGGTAAAGGTTATAGTTTAACAGTTGATTTAAAACTTAGAGTACAAAATAAAATAAAAATTATTGGTAAGAAAAAACAACCATATATTTGATTTCTTATTATTATCATCTAATATTTTATTTTATTTTCGTAAAGAAAGTAAACAATTCAAAGATCTTAATACATTCATATTACAAGAAATACCTGATGCAACAATACGTGAACATATTGGTACTGAAGTAACATATTCATTTAAACATGAACACCGACATAAATTTGCACGATTATTTAAACAAATTGAAGTTAATAAAGAACGATTAACTATTGGAAATTATGGTTTATCAGATACAACACTTGAAGAGGTTCAATTTTTTTACATAAAGAATTTATTAAATAATGAATAATATTTTTTTTTAAAGGTTTTTCTATGGGTAACAGAATTAGCTGATCAAGGCAAAATGGATGATTTAAGTGAAAATTCTACTGTACCAAAAATTGTCATTGAACAACCACCTATTCCATCATCTCATAGTGATGATAGTGGTCTCGGTGGTGAATCAAATGCAACAATGGATGGTAAGTTATATTCATTAGTTATTGAAAAAAAGTCAAGACGGATGAACATGAATTTATTCAATTCGACTTAAACAAACGTCTGCATTTAGATTATTGAAAACAAAACAAAAAAGACTAAAAAAAATGTCCATGTCTATTGAGTAGTTGTTTAAAAAAATATTAAGTTCATTGATTTTAGTCAGCAGCTATCGCTGAGTATATTAAATCTTTCTAGAGATATTGACGATACCCTGATTTTTTTATATGTTATCTTAAAAAAGATTTCCGGAAGTTCAATGACTGCATACAGTAAAACCTCTTATATATAGGTAAAATCTGGATAGGCCAAAAGTGCTCATTTTATGGAGGTGCTGCTCATCATAGATTTCATCCGTTTTGAATATTACAATGTCAACATATGAGTTTCTCAAAATATCTACGTTTTAAATAAAACATAAGAAAAACATGAAGATGTTGAGAAATTCATTTTCGTAAAGGGTACAAGATCTGCTTATGATTTACTTTCTGTAGAGGGTCAACAGTTCTTAACTATTGAGTATTAGATGTTAATTTCGAAGATAATTAATTTGGTAAAAATATTTCACTTTTATGTTTTAATTTTTTGATTTGTAAGTTTTGTTCTCAACACCTTCTGTACAAGCTAATGTAAATTGACGGCACACTAATGACATATTCGCGAACATTGATTAACAGTAAAAGTAAGGATCAATTTACATTTGTTTGTACAGTATATACCCGACATTCGAATTTTTCGAGCCAAAAATGTTCCAGCCTTATTATCAAATTATCTTTAGCCAATTAATTGATTTTAATTCGACTGTTGATCTGGTCTCTGCTTAGTAACTACAGAGAAGCTATTGAAACCTGACACGTTCTCAATGTATACATTGTAAATCGTCACAAATATCATTTTTACGAAATCTGCATGCTTAATAATATATCGCTTTTTTTCTTTGTAAACATAGTATCGCGGTTTTCTAAGCCGGGGTAAGAAGGATATATGAAAACTATTGAGAATGTATAAACTCATAAAATTGACTTTGAAGAAACATTATGTACGATATTTTCTTTCTAAAATCTAATTATTCTACTATGATTCTACAAGTCGACTAAAGCGAAGCTGTTTTTTTTTTGTAAGCCTCTAGAGGTGCTCATATAAAAAGGTTTTACTGTAAAATAACTGCGTTCTATGAACAATTATAAATAGAATATATAATTGCATCTTTAAATTCAAAATATCATATCGAGATAAAATAACACATGCACCCAAGCATGCACCAGAATAAATGAGACTCCGGGTACTTTTTTTTTAATATTTATTTCAAATTACGACGTATATCGTTGAATCTTTTCTCTTTGTGAGATCATAGGCATTTCGCTACATTCTGCGCATACGTAAATGCTACACAAAACAATTGCCTTCAACTGAGTAATAAGTCTGAATATGAAATAATGTTTCATTGAAGATAACAAAATTCGAATTGTGATGAATCTTAATGAAAAGTTTTCAGAATGTCAATAGAGAGAAGAAAAGAAGAATTCTTGTTTGGGTAGATTTACAGTATGTCAAAAAATGCATTCCCTTAACGAATAGAGCTTTTCATGGACTATAAAATTGTAAACAGAAAAACGAACACTTTGAAAGTGGGAAGCTGTGAGTTCAAACTGTTAATTGTTCTTCGGGCCCGTAACCACTATAACGTGAACTCATAGCTTCCTATTTGAAAGAGGACTATCTTGGAGTATTGCTATGTTCACTGGGTATAATTTCATAGCTATTCTTTGAAAGATTCCTTTTCATAAAGTGTTGTAGACGATTACAAGGGCTATCTTTTGAGAAAAGACTCAAATAGATAAGTCGCAATTTGATAATAGATATTTCTGGCATACTCATTAATATTAAAAAGCTAAAATATTATTTATTGTTAATTTTCTTAAAGCTATATCAATGATAAGTGGAAGTAGTGCACAATTACCAACAATATCAAATGTAACTTTAAATCCTCCACCAAAATATGCTAAAATTAATGGTCGTAAATTATATTTTCATCAATTTCAAACATTATTATTAAAACGTTTTCATCATACAAAACGTAATTGGAAAGTTTTTCTTTCACATATTTTTCTTCCATTAATATTTGTTGCTATGTCAATGGGTTTTACACTATTACGTCCATCACAAACCTTTCAACGACCATGGTTATTAACACCAGCTATGTATGATCAATCAGCAATGTTTGTTAAGTAAGTTATACATTACATATATATATATTTTTATAAATAGTGCATACATAGAAAAAGAAAATTAAATATATAAAGGTGAGCAGAGATCGACTAAAGAAAAAAAACAGAGAACACGACGGAATGAATTTGTCTATTGATTGAAATATAAAAGGGAAGAATTAATAACAACATTAAAATTGCACGATATATAAATTAATAATTTTAATTTTTGTTCTAACATCGCGTTTCATATAAACCACTTTTACCAATATATCGTACCCATTTAATTGTGTCCGAATCGGAATAATTAAGTTTATGTTCAAATACTTTAAGATATCGAACTTTAAAACCTGATGGTGCAAATGGTACTTCAAAATTCATTGATATTGGTGGACGATTCCATTTTTTTTTATCATTTGGTAATAATTCAATTTCAGCACTTAATTGTGATTCTTTCATACCACCCATACGTTTCATTTTCCATACAATAGCATTTTCAGATGATTTATGTTTAGCTTTACCTTTCATACATAATAATTGTACATCACATGTATTTGGTGGTGTTGGTATACGTATTTCAATTTTTTGTCCAATAAGTGTTGGTTTAAAATTTGATTTAACAACAACTTTAACTTCCATTTTAGTACGACCTATTTCACGTACTAATGGTATAACACGAAATGGTAAACTAATATCTTTTGTTGTTCTATAACGCATTAATTCAAATTCACCATCAGGTGGTATAAATGATATTGAATGTTCAGATTCAAATTTAGATAATTTAACACATTGATGAAATTGACAATCATCAATAGCAATAGCTGTTTTTGCTGTTGTTGTTGTGGTGGTTGTTGATGGATATGATGAACCATTTGTTGAAGTATTATTTGTATTTGTTGTTTCTAATTGATTTTTTGTACGATTTTCAACTGTTATTTTATCATTAATACCAAATTTACATTCAGGCATACCTGATAAATAACTTTTCATAACAACACGACCAGCAACATGTGTACTTAATACTTGACCTTGTTGTGACATAAGTAAATTAACTGATTCAATAACATCAAGAAATAATTCATTACGACGATATTTAATACCTTCACGTCTCCAACCAATTTGTCCCGTTACAGCTGATGTTACATTTGTTTGTTCTTCACGTGTAACTGGTCGTACACCTTGTTGTGTTATAAATGATTTTAATACACCTGTATCACTATTTTGTGGATAACCAAAATCAAGTATTTCATCCAATAATTCATAGATTAAAACAAAATTATTTTTAATATTTTCTTCACTTATTTTACCAAAATATGATTGCATTATATCAATCATTTTATTTAAAAATTCAAATACCATAGCAGCATTTATATTTTGTTTAGCTACAGCACATAACCATATATTCGAACGTTTTGTATAAAAGAAACTTGTACGAGCTATATTGACAACAGGAAAACGTGATTGTTGTCGTGCGTGAATAACATTAACACGAAATGCATCAACAGCATTTCGACCAATATCATCACGATAGACACGCTAGAAAAAAATTCATTATTTATAATAAAGAAAAACAAAAACACAGTGAGTTTTTTTAATCGTACCGATATGAGTACTTCTCCTTTATGATTATATATAAAAACTCCGCCGATCATCGTTTATCTATTTTAATGATAAGAAGATGAGATTGAATAAGTTAAGTAAAGACAATAAATATTGGATTAATTCTGCTTGATTCCATAAAATACCCTAGTCAAGTCATCTATGCATCTGTTTTTTTTCTTGTTCTATTTTCACATTTAAGCATACAATTGGTTTTTAGTCATAGAAATAAGAATTACTGATGAAAATCAATGGATTTCTATAGAATTTTCTTTCAACAATGATGATTTTATGACAGGATTAATGTTTTTTTTTATTATGGCGCTGCTGACGCATTCATAACTTTCGTAACGTTGTGCAAATATTTGCGGTTGTATTTTATTCTGTTCTTTAACGAAACATTGCTTGCTCCATGAAACAGATACGCTGTTTGACGTAGCAAGTTACCGTCTGAATCATTTTTCAATCTTTCGTCTTTTATTTTCTTTTACATATTTCCTTTCCTACGTTGTTTTATTTTTCTAAAAGAAAAAAGTAATAAGTATTGTAATGCTGTCCGACACATTGGAAAAGTATAAAAACTTGCTTGCAAAGGTATCGGAAGTGGATGACAAATATGTGATTATTGATGTTAAATGGTTAGAACATTGGAAACGTTTTGTTGGTATCGAAAAATCCGAGGAAGACAAAGTCACTGACCCAGGTCCTATAGACTTTACAAAATTAGTCGATCCAGCAACAGCTAACAGTTCAAATGAAGTACAACTTCGCTCAGATGCTGTCGAAAAAAATGATTTTACCTTCATTCCATATGAACTCTATAAAGAATTAGTGGAGACTCATGACAAAAATGGTCCCGAAATAATTCGTACAGCAATTCCACAAGGTTCATGTGATACTGTAATTGAAACATTTCTTGTACCATTACGACTTCGTGAATCAAAATCTTTCAATGCTAGAATAAAGCAAATCTATCGTAGTCGTCGAACTAAAATAGAAGAATTAAAAAAAGATATTTGTCATGAATTTCATATGGCACCAATCTCAAACTATCGTTTATATTCTTCAGTTGATGAAAAAGGTTTAGACTGGAAACCCATTGATGAACAATCAAATTTAACTCTTGAAGATATTGATTTAACAAAAAATGCATTTATCATATGTGAATCCCGAGCATTATCAGCACGTAATGATACCTCGTCTTCTTCATCAAAAATAAATTACACTCTCGGATCTTCCTCATATTCTACATCGAAAACATATTTCACTCGCGGACTATGTGGTTTATCAAATTTGGGTAATACTTGTTTTATGAATTCAGCTTTACAATGTTTATCAAATGTTCCAGCATTAACGGAATATTTTCTTCGTGATGAATATAAAGAACATATAAATCGCAATAATCCATTAGGTATGAAAGGTGATGTTGCTCTAGCATATGGTGAATTAATACATGAAATGTGGTCAGGTAAAACAAATTTTTGTGCACCAGCATCTTTGAAAAAAAGTGTTGCACGTTATGCACCCCAATTTAGTGGTTATGCACAACAAGATTCACAAGAATTTATGTCATTTTTACTTGATGGTTTACATGAAGATTTAAATCTTGTCAAAGACAAACCATACATAGAAAAAAAAGATGATGATGGTAAATTTGATGATGAAAAATTAGCTGCTGAACAATGGAGTTATTATCTAAAACGAAATCAATCAAAAATTCATGATATATTTCATGGACAAATAAAATCTATTGTACATTGTCTTACATGTGGTACTGCAGCACGTACATTTGATCCAATATGTTTTCTAAGTTTACCATTACCAGGTAAATGTAAAATCCGAACATTTAAAATCGACTATGTTCGTTTAAGTGGACAAATTAAATCTTATGATATTAAATGCGATGAACATGGTCGTGTGCGTAATTTAGTTCAAGAATTTTGTGACCGTTTTCAACAGAAAAATAAAAAAATTACTGATACCGTGCCTATGGAGACAGATGCTGCATCAAAACTCAATGGAACTAATCAAGATGAAGAGGAAGAAGAAGAAGAAGAAGAAGAAGAAGATTTCACAAAAGCATCAGATTATGATGGACATCAACCTAAACCAGATCATATTTTGTCTGCTGAAATTTACAATCACCGAATTCATTTACAATATTCAGATAATACTTTGTTAACAACTATACTTGAACGTGATCAAGTTGTTTTTTATGAAGTACCTGATTCATTAAAAGCAGTAGATAGTGAGAAGATTTTAATGCCATGTATTTTTCGAGATGATAATTATCGTCAAAATTTTGGTTTACCTATGTATCTTAGTATACCAAGACGTAACTGTAAAGGAAGAGATATTCAAGAAGCATTGCAGGTAAAGAATATAATGCTAAATATCTGTGATAGTTTCTTATCTATTTATTATTATTGATTTTTTAGGAAAGAATTGGTAATTTTCTTCCATTACCTCAAACGGATTCATCAGATAAACAATTTTACACTGCTATATTGACATCCAGTCAAGGTTATGGTCAATCAAACAAATTATTAAAGTCATGTCTTGATGAACATATTGATTTTTCTCGTAGAAATGCATCACTTATTGTTGAGGTTGCATCATCAATTGTTGAAAAATATAAAAAACAAGAAGAAGAAAAACGTTCCGAGAAAGATCGTACTTCATCAATGACTACTGGTACTCAAACACGTAGTCAACAGAAACGAGCAACAACATTATTAGATTGTTTTAAATATTTCACAAAAAAAGAAGTATTATCTGATAATGATCTATGGAAATGTCCAAAATGTAATGAATTAAAAAAAGCTACAAAAAAAATGGATTTATGGCTTTTACCTAAAGTTTTAATTGTACAATTAAAACGTTTTAATTATAATCGTTATTTTCGTGATAAAATTGATTTATTAATTGAGTGTCCACTACATAGTTTAGATCTATCACAATTTGTTGTAAATCCAGCTGAAAAAGTGAAAGCAAAATATGACTTGATTGCTGTTAGTAATCATATGGGTGGTTTAGGTGGTGGACATTATACAGCACATGCGAAAAATTCTGACGATAAAAAATGGCATACATTCGATGATTCATATGTATCAGATGTTAATGAAAATAATGTTATCAGTAAAGCCGCTTATGTCCTTATTTATCAACAGCAATCATCAAAAAACGAATGCGCGAAGAAATGAAATGTTGATTTGATTTCTTTGTGAAAACTCTTTCTGTTTTTCTTTTCTTTCCGATATTCTTTTTACTTCAATTGAACTAAGCAAGAGAAAATTTTCATATATATTTTGATGTTCCTTTCATAGACATTCATCTTTCTTTGTTTTTTTATATTTATTCCTGAGCAAAACATAACAATTTTTTTTTAAATTTTATCCGTTTTCTTATAGGTTATTCAATAGTAAT